GAAGGAAGGAAGGAAGGAAGGAAGGAAGGAAGGAAGGAAGGAAGGAAGGAAGGAAGGAAGGAAAACAAAAAGGAAAGAAGAAAGGGAGGAAAGAAGGAAGGGAAGGAAAGAAAAAGGAAGGAAATAAGGAAGGAAGTAAAGGGAGGAAGGAAGGGAGAGAAGGAAGGAGAATGAAGGAAAGAAAAGCAGGAAGGAAGGAAGTGAAGGATGAAGGGAGAGAGGATGAAGAATGTAGCAAGCAGTGAGAATTAACGGAAGTGCATTTTCATACCTGCTTTTGAAATGTAATTACAGCCGGTATTTCTGTAGCTCCTTAAAGCTCATGAATCACTTTGCACACACTATCTTGTTTGATTCTCACAAGAGTCTTTGAGGGTGGTTGAACAAATATCATTCCCATTTTATGGATGAGGGAGCTGAGGTTCAGAGAAATGGAGAGACTTGTCCAAGGTCATCACACGGAGTCGATGACTGAGCTAAGACTTGAACCCAAGGACTGTGCCTTCACCTTCAGCAGCCTATTTTCACACCCCACCTTGTTCTGCTATTCTCAGTCTCTGAGCCTCAGTTTCCTGCTTTTGATCATAAATGTTGCTGCTATAAGTATTTTTAGTACATAACGGTCTTCTTGCTATTAGCAACCTTGGAGTATAGTTCCAGAAATGGGATCTCTAGGTCAAAGAATGTAAACAGTTTTATAACTTTTCTTGCATAAAACATAAGCTCCATCCCCCTCCCAGGAGACTGTAAACTCCTTGAAGGGAGGAAACTCTTGGTGTGCAAACTCCTTCCTTGGCTGCAGATCTGCACTCTTTTGTACCTTCATAGAGAATCACCCTGGGCATTGGGAGGTTAAGTGACTTGTCTGTGATGACATGGCTAGTATGTGGGATTTGAACGCAAATAATCCTGATCCTTGGCTGCCTCTTTATCCACTACCCCACACTGCCTCTCGCTTTACATATAGCAGACACTGAATAAATACTTGGATTGGATTAGACAATTCCCAATTGTTTTCCAGAATGTTTGGACCAACTCACAACTTCTCTGGTGTCTCCACCATGGAATTCCCCTATTTTTACTAATTTGATGGGGAGGGGGGAGAGGCAATCCATCTCTTTAACGTTTCTTTCTAAAAAGTGTTTTTATTGACATATTTTATTTTATGACATTTCCACCCCCAAATATATCCCGTCTCCCACCATTACCCAGAGAGTCGGATCTTGTAATAAAGAATTAAAGACAAAAAACAGTTCAGCAAAACTAACCATTATATCCCTTATCCCAGGCTGACAGTATAGAACATTGTCCACACTGAGAATCCACCATCTCTCCAGTGAGAAGACAGAAGTTGAGTCTATATCTTTTCCTTCTGGCCCAAGCTTAGTCATTGTGGTGACACAAGGTTCAGTTTTGCTATCTTGTTCCTACCATATGCATCACTGGATTCATTGTATAGCTTTTTTTCTCCTGCTTCTGCTTACTTTACCCTGCATCAGTTCATATAAACCTTCCCAGGCTTCTCTGAATTCTTCACTTTTTCTGTTTTGTACAGCGCAGTAGTGCTCCATGACATTCACATGCCAGGGTTGGTTCAGCTCATCTAAGCATTTTAGAGGCACCAAACAGAAGGATAATTGGCAAGGTTTTTGACTCTATGGAAAAACAGACCTAGCCAAGCTGATTCCTGGCTTCAGCTGATTCCTCCTTCAGGCTTGTTCTTCCTGGAGTGCTAAACCCTAGTGGAAGAGCTCCATCTTTTGCTGACTCTCCCATCTCTCCCTACAGGTGTGTGAACAGGCGGACCCAGAGCGGAGCCTCCCCTCTCTACCTGGCCTGCCAGGAAGGCCACTTACACATCGTCCAGTTCCTAGTGAAGGACTGCGGGGCTGATGTGCACTTGCGGGCCCACGATGGCATGACCGTGCTGCATGCAGCTGCCCGCAGCGGCCACTATTCCCTTGTGGTCTGGTTGGTAAGGACACGGTCATCTTGGGAAACTGAGGAAAGGAGGGAGGGGGTGGCAAGGGAAGCTTTGGATCCTCATGTGAGATAAAGTGAGAATTGCAGGAAATCATGGCCTTTTAGCTCCAATGACCAGGGGGCCACAGGGATGGCGAGGGATCTTAAGACCACACCGTGTGAAGATCAGCTAGAGAGCTGGAAGGGACTGAGAGGCCAGAGAGTTCAACCTCCTCATTTTACAGTTGATATGCTATGACTTGATGAGAGTCACACAGCTAGTGTAAGAGTTAGAGTTTGAACCTGGACCCTCCTGGAGTCATGAAGACTCATATTCTGGCCTCAGACACTTCCTAGCTGGGTGACTCTGGGCAAGTCACTTCACCCTGTTTGCCTCAGTTTCCTCATTTGTAAAATGAACTGGAGAAGGAAATGGTAAGCCACTCCAAAATCTTTGCCAATGGGGTCATAAAGGGTTGGACACAACTGAGAAATGACTGAATGACAACTCCAGGCTTCCAGTCCAGTTCTCTATCCAGCACACACCTGGCAACCTAAAGACCTAAGAATGGTAACTTTGGAGGAGAGGTTTTAGTGGGATAAAGGACAATGGGTTTGGAGGTAGGAGAGACTTGGGTTCTGATCCTGGCTCTGGGAACATGGGCAGCTCACCAGTGCTCTCAGGCCTAACTCCTCATTTAGACAGGGACAGTCAATGGAGGCAGAGGAGGTCTTGGTGATTAGCAGGGCCAGGCAAGAATTTTACACACACACACACACACACACACACACACACACACACACACACACACACACAC